ACATGGATAATATTTGATAGCTTCATATTGAAGATTGTTGCCAATCAAATTATGCTCCCTTTATTATTTAAATTCGTATGAAGTACTCCCTTGCAAAGTATTCGGAAACGTAGATACATTTCATCGAAGAGGGACGATATCACCGTCTTATCATCTAGATTAAATCAAGATAGATAATTAATATCGCCTATATCATGACTTAACCAAACAAACCACGTTGCATTATGGGCGCCGTTACCCAATCCTTTACAATTCCATCACCAAGTAAGGAATATCATAGTTAGCTACTCTGTTCATAAAACTTGTTCTGTGTGGGATATTTTGTGTACGAACCAAGCCCATTTGTTTGAATATTTGGCCACCTTCCTAATATAAATAGGCGTTATCGTGGCTCCAGGGAAAATGAAATGGGTGTCATTGTGTTTTAAATTCCGGGGTAACCATGGGGTGCAGATGTAACTACTCAACAGTCAACTACAAAATCGTGTGTCACGACGTATCGTAGTTATTTACAACACCTACAAACTCAAGGACTTGCAAACTAACAACTTCATCTTCATATTAACAAAGAAAACCAAGCCTCATGTCCACATTTAGTGTGAATATAATTGTGTGTCTGAGAGTCTTTTATTTTCAAAGGACTTTTCCCTGATCATAACATCTCGCTGTGGTATATATGGTCAATTGACTCTTTGTATATATACATTTTAACGACTTTATCTGATTAACCTGAATGCATAGGGAGACTATATTTATCCAGTAGCATGCTCAGATGAAGACCCACTTTCAAGGTCACATATGGTCAAATGTGTATGAATCGTTAAATGACTACTTCAGGTTCAAGAAGCCGCCTAAAAGAGACCATAGTCAATCAAAATTCCAACCCCTGAATAGGTCATATTTAAAGGCTCCAATTAAAAATCGGAATTCATATAAATTGAACTTGTACATTTGTTATGATAATGTTCCATAGCGAAGTAATAGACAATAATAAGGCATTAAGACTGACGTCCTCATAAAAAAAAAAGCTCATTAGGTTAAAAACAGGTCAATCTCTTTTGCAACCCAACTGAATGCCATGTTTTGACATATTAACTAAAACTCATTTATAATACCCAGGTCATACCTATGTATATAGACCTAGGCATGACGAAGCTTAATTTCGGATTTACTAGCTGTAGAGAAACATTCCGGCCTCAAAGCAAGATAAGTGTGGCTATGAGAATGTACAAAAGGCATACAATGCAGTAGGGTTATTATACCATCTTTCAGAGGGATTGTTGTTGAACCTAAATGGAAAAGAGGGTAGCTTATTTTGACACATATTATTTTATTATTATACAAGACCTCAGTTTGTCTGCTGTACAGTGTGACGTAAGCTTACAACTTTTTCGCCCTTAGTCATTTTATTTTTTATTGGGATCATTTGATAACGGCTGACGAGGGGGGCACCATCGAAAAAATGATTTTTTTAGCTCAAGTTGAGGTCCAAAGAGTTGCAATAGGACAGCAGATCACCTTTTGTTTCTTTAATGTCCCCGAATCAGAAGACAGAGAAAAGTCCCCAATTGTGTAATCAGTTAAAATAGCAAGTAGTGGAATAATGTTGGTTGATTAATTCCCTGAATAGTACTGACTGTTTATTTAACCCCTTATTTGTTCAGAAAATTTGCTTCCTCGTAGATAAATCACATTTTTTCAAATTCAAATATTTCGGGATTTTAATAGTCGGGATTCAAATTTATTAAGATTCATATCTTTATTTTCATAGACGAAGAAATACTTAAATTGTTTAATTTAGAAGATATTAAAGTCGTTTGGATACATTAATATTGTTGAATAAAAGCGTCTACTTGAAAAGTTATATACCAATATATATCTCACTGTGTTCAAATAACTGTTTGCACGTGTCAAAAACATGAATTTATTGTAACAGTCACCAAATCCTTACCATTATTATATTGCTATGTAGTCTAGTACAGCCATACAATCAATAGTTTAAGTAAATAAAGAGACCTACCCTAAAACTGCAATATGTTTCCAGAAAGCATATGATTCAAAGATAAGGTGGGTTATAAATTATACTTTTAAAGGATACAAAATCAGAACGAATGTCCTTAAGTAATACATTCAGGGTCCAATTCGATAACGTTACGTCAACATTATTACCTATTTTTGAATTTCTGATGCATAATATTTGCGATGACAGGAACAATTACATATGCACTTATTTATAGGTGACTTGTTATATAATTACGTCTAAATAAAACTTAGAAAAACGTGTAGGGAACGTGGTGTCGCAAATGTTTTTCGAATACCAATCAAATACCGTGTTATCTCTAATAATAGAATTGTCTCCCGTTGCAAATAAACGCAAAAATAATTATGTTTTCAAACGGAGTTGATTAACAGCATTGCTTAAAATGATAAGTACTGTTTTTTCAATTCTATAGTTTAATGAATTGAATTGTTCTTGAGAAAATGTGCAGTGAACTGGAGCACAGTTAATTTCTAGACAAATTTAATGAACAGCGAGGCAGTTGATATTGAATTTGTCTCAAAATAAACTCAATTAATCACCAAATGACAATGGTATAAAAGCAATATTCAATATTTACGTTTCGATGGAAGTTGTTTCTTCAAGACTTCTCCATGAAAATTATAGATTACATGTTTATAGCTTGAACATCCCAGGTCGCCTCCAAATTTTCTTTGGAGGTTCCTGATATTCCTTTTGTTCCGGTGTCTCCTCAGTTCCTGTTGTTGTCTTTCGTTCTTAAGTTTTGCTTACGTCTTTTTGATACCGTGTATTCTATTTCGCTATTATGACGGCTGTAAACAGAGATAATCATAAACAATTCCCATTCGATTGTTATTCGGCTTCCGAGTTGTTCATGCAGCTAACTACTTCTAAACATAATTGATCTAATTTTAATCTAAACACAAATATACAGATTAATGAATGGTATGATATGTGTAACAATAAGCAATTTCAATAAGTAGTTTTTCTACGGTTTTTGTGTATGTGTAAATGATATAAGTAGAATAAAAGGAAATCAAACGAATGCTTCTTAATTTTGTAAAATTTTTAAATTAAATTTTTAAAAAATTTTTAAGGGGAAAGTAAACTAACATTATTTTCGCCATCAAGTTATTTTTTTTTCAATGTCACTATTGTACTTTTATTTTCGATCAAGCTCTTTTCAATCGAAATAGTTTTACTATCTATTTATGTGGTTTTTTTTATGTGTTTGTTTTTGTTTAAACTAAATGTGTGAAACACTGCATGAGTTGAACTCAGGACCTTTACATTGCTATGACTGTGCTACACACTACCTATTTTGCTATCTAGAAATTGCAAATACACAGCATCACTATGAAAGGCAAACTTTAAGATAAAACATTGATAGAAGATTTACCTTCACACGGGAAACAACTTTAAAAATAATCCTTACGGTTGCTTAATCTTCTATATATAAGAGACTATACATTTAATGAAAAAGCTATAAATGCAACTCTTTTTCACGATTATTACTGATGCAGTGACATCCTTAACCTTATTGGTGTTTTTTTAAATGAACGTTTTTGGTTTTGATCCTGAACATGTTTATCTACATATTAAATAGCTGAATGATATGAACAGTCCCCAACTCTTAAAATAATGCTGCCTTTTTCACAGCAATACAAGGGCCGTACTCATAGAGATACTTATTTTACGCCAGTATTTACAGTGTCTTTTTGACTGTGATAAATCACTTCAATGTAACTATTTATGATATTATAAAAAAAGCAATGACGTAACTTCTAATAAAAAAAAAATCGTGCTAAGACTTTTCATTATTTCAATTTGTTTAAAAAAATCAATAACTTATACATGACGTTCCCAGACAAACACTTTATGTTACCTTCCAAAAGTCGATTGTGCACGTCCATTTGCTTAAAAACTTCAATATAAATTATCTACAACTATAATGAACGATTTCAATGTGACTTGAACGGCATCGTCCCGAGTACCTGTTATGGGTTTTCATCACTTCCAGTTTAGATTTTATATGTAAAATTTTCTGAATAATTTTAGAGTGTAATGTAACCTCTTGTGCTGTGACATCACGCAGTCATTATTTACTTTCAGTCAGTTCATATCAACCTGATAGTGAAGCATATTGATTTTTATTTCATACCTTTCTTCATTACAGTGTCATTACACCCGTTTCTTGAATTGTTTTGGACATAACTTAACCAATACATAGAGGGGCTGTATTGGTCATACGTTCTAATTTACTCACAACTAGGATACCTTGATGGCGTCACGGACTTCCTAACCGTATTTTGACACAACACCAGAAAATGGCTTGGATTCAAATTGTTTCAATGTAATATTTAAATTCAGTACGAAAATTTACGTCCACGAATAATACATATAGTATAAAACTTGGTGACGTGATAAACAGAATCTTATATTAGCTTCCACTTAATAAGAATTTAAGAAGCATATAAAAGATGCTTTCTTAAATGAAAAGTTTTTGACTTGTTATATATTTCTCATACGAAATGAAACTTACTTAAGATGTTCAAAATAGGTATTTGTGTAGTTAGCTTTTCAATCAAGTATTTACCTGAGTACCGAAATGAATGCGTCTGCCATTAATTATCTATAGTCTCTACAAAATGTGTTCATTACTAGATTTCGATACACAATGATTTAGATGTTATATTTTAATATGAGGGCGTGTCACTGTTTGTACAACCTCATTTGCCTTGAGCTGATTACGATATGTATAAATAAGCATGTTATTGTCCGCTTATCGGAACAGATCAGAACCCTTTGTGAATATCCATTGTTTTCTATTTTTAAAACTGATGACAAATTGTTCTAAATGTATATGACATATAAATAAACATATAATTATTTATGGCTCTCTTTCAAATATGACATAATCACATAACGTGGTGAATATATTTTAGAATGTGCGTGTAATCTTGAAAGGTTTATTTTGCAGAGGGATTAAAATGGCGATGAGAACGCTGCGTTTCGGACTACTTGGATTCCTATATATACAACTACTCCAACACGTTTCCGCACAAGGTAATGTTCTGTACAGAATATTGTGTTCCATTAACACGCTTTAATGCATCGTTGTGTGTAAAGAATTACTGTAAAGGGTATTTTTAGCGATTTGACACTCTTTAATACATCGTTGTGCGATATAATTAGTGTAAAAGGTATATAGCGTTATGCAATATACTTACTGTAAAGGGTTTTCAGCAATTTGTCACGCTTTTAATACAACGTTACGTGTAAAAAAAAAATGTCCAATTTTGTTATGGCTATTTGACTCTTCAAGCGTGATGCGGTGAAATTGTTTTCGTGTTATTGCAATGCTGCTGATATGGGTAACTGTTTAAACATGTAAAAAAAGGACAAAGGGTATTTTGTCGTATTTGGTATCCCGATATGAAATAGATAGCGCTGTATTGTAGATATATAAGCTGCTTGTTTTCAAGACCAATTTACCTTCAAATAAATAGGTTTCGGTAATTCATTAAGAAGAATTATAATCATGACGGTGGTGGTACGTGTTTCCTCTATGAAAGAATATTAACATAATATTAGTCACTTGAGCGATTGAGTCAAATGTATATTCATTGTGTTGTTTGAACGAAATACCAAGCGTCTAGTTGACAAAGATAAAGATTTAAAAAGCAATTGTTGTTCTCCATGATCATGGGATTTATTTCCTTATTTTTGTGGTAAACTTGACAGTTGTGGTAAAATATCTGGTTAATATATTCACTAATTTCGAATCGACCGTTTTATTTGCCTGGTCAATATGTTTCAAGAGTCAATTTGTGTCTAATCATATGCTGATTAAATGGAGGCAAAAGTAGTATTATATTCCATGTCAACAACAACAACAACACCAATAGGTGACTTTATACCCAATTAAAACGGTAAACCGGTTATATTTAATATGCTTCATGGTCCATACTGATATGGAAAGTTTCAACCAAAACAATGTCATAGCATTTTTCGATCAATATTTTAGACAATTTCATATTATCGCAGCGAGGTCATGGGTATAGCAATTCTTTCGCTTGACCGCTCCTTCGTTTGCTCGCTCGTATGTTCACTTTCTGCCATTACCCTAATAAAGGATTTTGACTAAGTTTCCCATAATAGTTAAGCATGAGATTTCCGCGAATTAGTCGAATTTCATGGTGCCCAGGTGTTGATCAAGATCAACTTGAATATCCTTACAAAAGCTTTGTCGAAAGTACATAATCATTATTATATTGATTAGGTATAAGAATACCTCGCAAGAGTTCGTGTTCCATGGTACAGAAGTCCAGTTCACCGTTACTGTTTTTAAATACATTTTTTGTTTTTGCCGTCTGTTTAACGACCTCATCCCTACAATTTCACCAGGGATTTGTATCGTTTGTTGCCATGTCTTGTTGACAGTTAACGGTATTCAATTCCCTACTATAGCCGAGGGAGTAAAACGATACCGTTATCCTACAATATTTTCAAGGTACATGTACTGTAGTAAATTCAAACGACCTATTGTAGGCGTGTCATACAAGAGAGTGGATTACATGACTTTATCATATGTTTGTATGTATGTAGGACAGAAATGTCCCATGCTGCTGTACAGATTTTCTGGCTGGAACCGAGGCTTACCAGGAGTATTTGATCCAAGAATTATGTACCAAAGGATGAAACATTTCTTTCCTACGTAACTTACATATGATAAAGTTTTCTGAAATAATTTACCGTTTCATTTGATCTAGACGAGGATGTTTAGTTGCCATATGATAGCTAAATTTCATCGTTATACTATATCGTGTTTCAGATAGCAGTTCTGGCATACCCATTATAGACATACCAGACAGTGGGGTAGAGAAAGGTAAGTACTCGTCCAAAGTTCATCCATGTACGTTGGGATTTACCAAATTATTGAGACCACAGTTAAACCTGTATAAAAAGACCACCATCGGGATGTCCGAAAAAATATGTTACACCGATACAAGTTTAGATCACAATGAAACCACTAAATGGGGAATATGGGGAACTTTTGGAACGTTGAAAGTGGTCTCTTTATACGGGTGGTATTTAATTGAGGTGGTCGTTTGATCATATATGACTGTGAAATAGTCATATTAATTAATTAACTAACTTCGCCATGTACAAACCCAGAAAGTTAACAGCTTACTTCCGGATTAAACTAGAAATTGTTGGTAACAATTTGAGGGGCTTTTCAACAATCAGTCTGATTGAGTCTTTGATCACAAACCTTTATGTAAACTCATGGTCTTATCCCCTTTGAAGAAAAGGACATTGTAAAGCATAGTACTGAAAGGTACTTTGTGTTTAGTTTTATATAAATCAAACTACTAAAAGTACTTTTTAAGAAGATTGATTTTGGCAGTAACTGTTATAGTCATTCTAATTTTGATCCTCTATCGAAAGCCGAAAGTTGACCTTTGACACAACTTAAAATATTTCCAGAGAAAACTAATTGCATTGATGTCCTCCACATCAAACCAAAATATAATGTAAACTTTTTTAATCATTTGACCTCTATAATTTTGAAAGTCAATCAAAGTCAGTCCTTTTTCGGATCAAGACAAAAGTTTAGTAAAAATATTTAGTAGGTAGTCTTGGCAAACACAAATTCATAGACTGGATCAAATCTTCTAAAGCAGAACATCAAAATAAAACGAAAATGAAGACATCAAATACATCATGTCGGAATCCCCCTATTGACTTGTGAAAGAATGTTTCAAAAAAGTTAAAACATGAAAATGAAAATCGATTTTTAATCATAGTTGCTTATACTAATAATGGTATTAAAAAGAAGTGCATAGTCATCAGGAGGCTACCTTGCAGAAGGTTTCTGTTTAACTACATCCATGCAATGTGTTGTGAAAACATATTTTACTTTATCTTGACGAGTGATTACTCGTGATTATATCATGAGTGGTCTGGTGAAGCAGTGACTAGCGCAATTGCCTTTCAACAAGGCGGCTGGGGTCCGATTCTCCGATCGGACGTGAAAAGGTATGGGGTCACTTGCCCGATCACGTGGGTTTTCTCTTGGTAGTCTGGTTTCCTCCCGCATTAAGACATTCGGCCCAACAAGAGTGACTAATATAATTTGGAACAATTTGATTCATTATTGTTTTTAAATAATGAAAAATGTATACATTACATGATTTTATCATGTAATTAAGCTTATGTGATAATAAAACCAGTCGTCTTCAAGATAACATCTCCATGATTTCCTTTCGTGGCAAATTTAAATATAAGTGTAACCTTGAGCGTCGACCATACGGTAAAGTTCTATTTCACTTTAAACCTTTTCTTTCGTACAGGTGATGTGTTTCATACATTGAACTGTTCTCTGGTGGAGATTCCTGCAGAGTGCAAATTTTTCATGGACCTACGTAGAACAGATACAAACCAAACTGAACTGTATATGAAGATAGATCTGCTTTCAAATTGTGTAAGTCTTTGCTTTTCAAACACACCTTCCACTGTCTATTATTTATGAAGGAACTGGTTGCGATTAGGTTTGTACATTTCAATGTATACAGAACATCACTCAGTGATAACATATAATGAAGTATCGTGGGAATGACATACATGTATAAATAAACATTAAATGATATAAAATATTTTTAACCTTAAGTGTATATCCAAAAGACAATCAAATCCCCTTTATCATTTAATCGTGCATTTTTATACTTATGACAGCAATATTATTTTGCAGAATTTTGATGGAAAACTATGCAACAATATGCAGTGTGAGGTAAGACGGTGTTTTGAAGATTTTATTATGTAATGTACTGGAAAACTGGAAAATATAAAACTATTATAATTATTTGTTAGTATTTTGAATGATTATTTTTGATAGGGTAATATACATTGACATATTTAACTTAACACACACCTATTTCTGTTTTCTTATTGATCATTACTTCATTTACCTCAAAGGTATGTTTAACTGCCTAAACTTCCAATGTGTAAGCATTTATTATAACTACATAATATGAGTAAAAATTTGATTGTGACAGAGATATGAAAAAAACGGTACATGTCTTTTGAACAATTTATTACTTATGCTTTATTATCTAGAGACCTTTGAGAATGAATGGCGGATGCATCCACTTAAGTTCTTGAACATTTGCGTTGGAAATTATTTCCTTAAATTATATAATAACATTACTATTTTTCAGACGGGGGGCCCATTTTCAATTCTTTTCCGGAGAATTGCAGAAAACATTCATTCTATCAAATTCAAACACAGCTCGTATACAATTGACGTTCCTGAGGTATGTGTCATTTCTTTTCATTAAATAGAAATGAGGTCATAAATACACTATACGAAATAAACAGTTTTACTTGTCCAAACGTGCACCTCATTGGAGCTATGTTAGCATAAATTTAAGTGTTTGCATAAGATTTTTTAACCGACATTTAACTGTTAAGTTCTTATTTTGGACAATATTGTGTGGTTTGGTCAGACAAAAATTAATGACGAAATATGTCCTTTTTTGATGATTATCTTTTCTCCATCCAGGATCTCCTCGTTGTGACTTTGCAATTATTCATGTTTGATTTAAATTGTTTTATTATAGTCAGCAGTAACTGGAACAATCCTGTACAAGTTCAATGCGAGTAAAATGATAGACAAGACAGATTGTTATAGCGGTACTGGAGGGAGTGGTTATGTTTTTAGTGTCAAGGTAGGATATACTAATAGTTTATCTAGGTTATGATCAGAATCAAGCAAAATCCTATAGTTAGCATATCAGTATTGTACATTGACATTGAACAAGGAAATTGTTTAATAAGAGTTGTTGTAAAAACTAACTTAAAGTTAATTGTAATTTACTTTAAAGGGAATATTGCTTGTGTTATTGTGTTGCTCAGCTGGATAAATGACACCAATTTTTATTTTTGACTCTTTTAAAAATCTGTTCTTGTCCAAATTTATCACAAGAAAAATCAAAGGTAAAGATGTCATAATAATACATGGTAGTGTATCTTAGAGGTAATAAATTCATGACGTTTTGTTTTAATCAAAATTTCGATTTCAAATATTTATTTCGCTGCAGACACATAACGACACCTTTGGAGTGAGCAGTAGCACATTACATCTCAAATCAAAGCTCGATTACGAGAAAATCGAAACGTACAACATCACAGTTTCAGCTGTTGTAAGTATATATATACTTAAGGTAACGTTACCACTCAGTCATTTTTAATCCACTTAGAGGTTATAGTATTTTCTCCCTTCTATGCATAAGATGAATCATCCTGCAAGGCGTTTTCTTACTTAAAGTTATTTCCCCTGCCAAACTTTTAAATGTTTTATAAAATACAAGAGTAGCATGAATTATGAAAAAATCCTTTTGAAAAGGATGTGACAAAGTATTTCACAAGAATGGCAATAATATAATATTTCTACTTGTTTGTACCCTTTACCTTAAGTTGAGTTATGGCAAATAGTTTTCAGCCATCATTCGGCCTTCATAGTTTCATTATATGATAGGTTCAGTAGCTAGATATTTGTTTATATATAAGATAAAGTTTCACATAGGTTATCATTAAGAAATGTCGCGTTTGATTGACATAGATATTGATTTAACATAATGCGTTGGTACCCTTCATCTTAACTAAAACATATTAAGACAAAATCAAATACATTTTTGGTGTTAAACGATGATTCCTTATGAAAAGAGTTTTGTTTTGTTACAACACACATGTGCATTCAGGCATATAATGCATGTCCTGAGTGTATCATTTAAATTATAGAGTTATTAACTTAACTTAAATGATTAATATATATTGACTATCATATTGGTAATTCAGTATTTCCTTCTTTCATACTTTACAGATGATAATGATATGTATTTTTTCCCCAGCTGTACGAACAAAATGACACGACAGAGTTCATTATCAATGTGATAGATGTCGATGACATGGACCCGCACTTCATTGATGCTCCGTATTGCCTGAATATCACGGAAAACGTAAGAGTATATTTAATGAGATTTGTATATTTGTACTATTTTTATTGCTTACTGTTGCTTTTCATTTTAAAATTATATTTTGACCTAATTTGTTGACGTTATTTATATATTTTATATTATCCTTTTTACTCTATATAACATAAAATCTACACACAGCATCGTGCTAATATCATTCGCCTTGATTTACTCCATGGTTCATATATATCTTTCCTTTTCATTGAATTTCCTTGAACCAATTATTGCGCCCCTGAAATGATTTTGTACAATCAACTGGTGTTTAAGCAAACAATATATTCAACTTTCCCTGTAAAAGACTTTTCAAAATATGACAAAGTTTTCTTGGAAATAAAATTTCTCTACCATTATATTGTAAGGCGAAGAGCAAAGCAGAATAACAAAACCGATTTCATTTGATACCCCAAAAACAAGTCAACAGTAATGTATGAAACATTTTCGGATAATTATTCGAACATATTTCTCTTAGCAAATACATTTTGTTTTAGTTGCACTGTATAACCCAAGGTAATTTCAATGAAAAAAGGTTTAAATTGATAAAATAGAGAACAAACCTGGGCAAATAACGAATGCTTTTAGTGCGTGATATATTGAACTTTATAAAATTTAGCTAAATTTGAGCATTCAATGACGTCAAAAACAGAACAAAATATGGTATCGCTTTAAAATGCTTCCATTTATGCTAATTGACCCTTTCAATAATTTAAGAGGGGGAGATATATAGCTACACTAATTCAATGTTAAGTTTCATACACTTTCATATATTGTGTATGCAAAAATGTGGAAATGTTTATTTAAACATCAAAGGCAATTGCATATAACTAAAATATTGCTCAATCTCTTATGTTCTAGTATACTCTTTGGTTAATTGACCTCCACTCAGTAACACAGACGACTCTTAGCAATATGAACCATTGAATCATCAGAAAATAAATGACATTAATGAAACACCAAATAACGTTATCAAAATCAATGAAACTTTGAATGTGTTCTTTAGGAATAATCGCCTGAAATTACAACTATGTCAAAGAGGATATATGTTCCTTTCTCCAAATTTTTCCTTTCTAAATCGAATAACAAAGATGTTATGGTGTAACCCTGTCTGTTTCCGGAAATTTATATTAATATATTGTGGTGTGGTTTCATAATTACTTTTTATTGCAATTAGTTATGTGATCATTTTTTACTCGTTTTCAAGCGAAGGTGGTCAACCTTTTTCTTTCCTATTGTTTATCTCATTTCAAAATAAATGATAATTTATGTCATTTACTTCTATCCCTATATGGACCCCCTGAACTGAATTACGCAAAAGCAATACAATGCTGTATACTTTAAGAAGTAATGCCCATACGAGCCTACAACGGCATTATGGACACTTAAGATTTACTAAAGTAAATTACATATAAACGCAATATAAATATGATCCAACAGGAGGGCGACGTTAAAAAATGTTAATGATAATATAGTCAAAAAATATTTTCATCGAAGAATTATCTTTTTCTCAATGCCATATATTAAAAAGTATAAAGGGAGATAGTTTATTACATAAATGCATTATTTCTACAGGATACAAGCACTGTTAACAAATACCTTTCGACCACACCTGGTATAGAAGCGGAAGATAGAGACAAAGGCGAAGGACGTCAGAATCTAACATACTCTATAAAGTCGGGATCGAATGGTACGTGATGGACCTGCAAATTCGATTGGAAAATTACTCAAATTGATCACTTACATTTGCTTTTCCCTACAGTGAGTTAAAGTCAGAACAAGCATGGATACGTCTCAATTATATGTGGAACACGTAAAAAAGAACAATTCAATTCAAAGTTTTAAATTTTAAATATCTGTAACATTAGACAAACTCATTTTAAACGTATTGTCAGTATCACGTGTCATACCACAAAGGGAAAGAAATTTAAATATTCTTTCTTTTCTAACAATGGTTTCTCGATATTCCTCTGAGACTCGTGATTTGCAGTACGAAACAATTATGGGTTTCTTGTTAACGTGTTTAAAACATATAAACATATAAATAGTAATATTAATATCACCGTATGTGACTAACATTGTGATATAGGGAAAGCGAAAAAAGATGTGGGATAACGAATAAGATGTGTTGCCATAATTACATGTTCATGTGCCTATCAGTTCTCTATAAACAAAGTACCCAATTGTTCATCGTTCAAAGGCACTCTCGTATAAATATTTCCCTTAATTTTTTCACGCAGGTATTTTTGATATCGACAACAGAAACGGATGTATACAGGTCCATCGTCTGCTGTTTTGGAAAAAAGATGACCCTAATGTTTACCACCTCACCATACAGGTAACTTAAACGATATCGTCTCAATAAATGTTCCCATATCTTTTCAAAGCTGAAATGAATCTAAAATGGCAATTGTTTTTCATGAATGAACTGTCATGTGATGTTCTTGACTGATCTTAACTATATGTACTCAGCATTTTTATCCTAAAATAATACTATTTGCGCAGGCAACCCAAGACAATGATCGAGATAGATATTCAACTTCCGGTCTGACTGTTTACGTCATCGATACCAACAACCACAGGCCAAAGTTCAGCACTAATCCGTACTACGCTGTCATTGGTGAGCATGCGCGAGTTGGAGCTTACGTCACTAAGGTTCATGCTGAGGATGATGATGAGGTAGGTGATGAAGATATAATTTCATTATAATAAGGCCAAACAAAAAATCGTTCGTTTGTCCGGTAAACCTACCTACCCTATTGTTTATGCCTACCCTACACTTTTGAAGGCAATTTTCAAAGAAGCGTTGTTAAAGTCAAGATCACTCTCCTATATAAACCATATAAAACTATTTGTTAAAATAAAATTTGTTGAATACCTCTCTACCCTAAATATTTCCAACATGTTACAGGAAACACATATATTTGGTTTTGTCTGGCCTAAGCAAACTCGGCTTATATCATTAGTCTTTCTAATATATATTTAGAACGTTAATATTTATAATAAAATCAATTTCAGTTAATTACAATAACATGTATATATTGCTCTATTCCTAATGCTCTTTCTTGATTAACGATGAATATTCTTCATATTATCTTACTGATATTTTATATCTAACATATATGATATGAATATACTCGTTGTAGGAATATTTTGGTTGCCGATGCTCTGAGTCGATGTTTACTACATTGTTTAAAATGTCCTTTTGCCCAATACCTGCATAGCACAATAGTCATTTCCATTATGCATTTCCAGACGATGTACCAAATAAAAAAAAAATCATCTTAAAAGATTTGGAAAGAATTATGTTATACAAAAGGTATATTTTAGAGTTAAATTAATATACAAAACCTTCCAAGCAGGTTTGTTTAAATAAAAAGTGTATATTTTCGGTACACGAGATATTTACATCCGCTAATTAAAATAACAAAGTTTATTACGTCACGCATTGCATTGCAATGACAGGAAACAGATTTTTTTTTAACGCAGGCCAATTGACTTTATGCACGTTCTATTCTAGTTTTTGCACAGCAAAGGTAGTTATCGATTAAGCAGCCATCAGGCCCATCTATGTAAGATAGAAATAGTGCACATGCACATTGGAGAACGTGAATATGCAAGAATATGGAAGAAGAAGAAAACTAATAATATAATATTTCAAGCTTGTCATAATATTACTACCTGAAGATGGTCTAATGGCTGTAAACGACTCTGTGTGAAGAGTTTTTTTCTTTCTCAAAACGTCTATTGATAGAGGAATTGATAGCATCTATCAAAAATGCATTGAGAAAATGCTTTGATCTTTATATTTGCAGGGAATATTTGGTGAAACACGATATAAACTTATCAATGACAACGGGCTTTTCATGATTGACAATCAAACTGGAGTTATCAGGGTAGAAAACTCCACCGGTTTGGACAGAGAACAGCATCCAAACATCACCTTACAGGTATAAATGACGAAGCTTTTATTAGATAATTTACTTACTCCCTTTGTATTTTCGATAAAGCTTCAAACGCTGAATCAGCCCTTTTGTGTGCTTCCCTTCATCACATCCCATTATGATACCTCTTCGGAATATCTCTATCTGTTAGACACCTTTATCGAATGACTAGACTATTTACTTTTCCACTTATCAACCATATTCTTTCGGAATGCATGACCTAAATAAAATGTACGGTAAACAGCATACGGTATGGTTTTTACCATACCATCCCAGTACCAGACTTCGACCAATATTAGCCGTCGGGCCTTTTGACCCTCGTGCTTATATTGATGTGTTTAGGGCAATGTTACGGTATAGCGATGATAATTTCCCTTTTTGAAAAAAAAACACAATTGAAAATTCACTGCTTACTGTGTTTACTTCATATATATGCTGAATGTAAAATAAAGATTATTGTTAAGTTTTTGTTCTTTATTTATTGCTTTATTTAATCTTAAAAAGCATTAGCCTTTGGTGTTTTTATGTCTCGGCTTTGATTCATAGATGTGTTTTTGTTTATTTATAATTATTCTAACTACCTGATCCTGATAATGTTATCAATTTCAGAGAAAGTTGTATTTTCTACTAATTTTACACAGGTACAATCTATTGATGCGGAAGCAAATGAAACTGGTAGCACCACATCCGTCGAAATAACACTGCTTGACATCAACGACCACACACCACAGTTTTCGAATGATACTTACATATTCCACATCAATAGCTCCGACACTGTACACGTAGGTGTTGCTGTTTTTATATCTCTTTGACCAGCCGATGGGTAATTGATTGGTTTTTGCTTATTTATAATGTACATGCAAATTAATTTCCTGTGATTTGTTCTACGTTTATTCTGTTTATTCTATCTATTGTTATAGTTATGTTGTCCAATATATGTTGTCTGTAGTTGTGATTATATTGTCTGTTGTCTATTTATGTATTCATGTTGTCTATTGTTGTCGTTTTACTGTATATTGTTGCGGTTACGTTGTATATTGATGTCTTTGTTGTCAATTGTCGTGATTATGTTGTTTATTGCTGTGTGTATGTTGTCTATCGATGTCGTTATGTTGTATGTTGATTTCGTAGTGTTGTCTATTGTTGTAATCATGCTGTTTATTGCCGTGAATATGTTGTCTATTATCATGATAATGTTGTCTATTATTGTGTTTATGTTTGTATATTGTTGTCGTTATGTTGTCTGTTGATATCGTAAAGTTGTCTATTGTTGTGATCATGCTGTTTATTGTTGTGGTAATGTTGTCTATTGATTTGTTTATGTTGTCTACCGTTGTTTCTATAGTTGTGTATAAGTATCAACAGCACATTTCCTTTGATGTTGAAGCTGTGATTCCTTGTATTTCTGTTTATCTCATAAAACAAATGTATAGCATTAATAATCGATTATTAACTTTAGTATGCAATATCGCTTTCTTATAAAACATCTCGGAAAAATCTTTATAAATCACATTCTGTTAAAAAATGGAAGTTTACTGACATGTTGTCATTGTTAACTGATTAATCAAGACTGATCAGTAAACGCGTATACACCTGTTTTTTAAGGATTAACTTGAATATATTTTTCATGTTATAATCAAAAGCGACGTTACAAATGGCGACGTCATTTTTTATGTTATGGGCTGATAACATAAATTTTTAAGCCAATGAAAATGCTTGTTACAAGCAAGATTAAATTATATTAGAATAAAGTTATATTTTTGCTTAATCCTTAAGGTCCATGCAAATGATGCGGATATTGGTGGAAATGGGCATATATCTTACAAAATAATACGAGATAATATACCTGGCGTCAGTATCAATGGAGACAATGGAACAATACAGTTCACTAACATTCATGCCGACATACAGTTTTCTGTGTCTGCATGTGACAACCCTGCTATATCAGGCAGTCGGTATGTATAGCAATAATGACCTTTTTCGTTGAAGGAAAATTTTAATATTTGTTTCCTGATGACACATCATAGTATTCTTACGATTGCGAAGTTAAAGAAAAACAACAAACAAACTTTAAACAACAGAAATATGATTAGCTTTACAGTGTTATATATAAATGATCAAATAAATCGCGCGAGAAAATTATGAAGTAAGATGTGAAAGCATGAGAAAAATATGATTTCATGTTTAGACAGTGTTCAGACATGCTATTACTTGGTTAAAATATATAAATTATACAGGTACGTACATAATGAGAGAAAGGCAATCATTTTATCACATCATAATATTGCTATTTAAAACGATAATCAGCTGACCCTCCAGAGAGCAAAGGGGTTTGGTCATAAGGGTGAAAGGGTCACAAAGTCACTTTAGCCATTAGAGATGATGATCAGAATTAGAATCTATACTCAAGAAAGGACTTCATTCAAATATCATCTCATCTTAAACTTAATGCTGGATTTTGATAAAGTTTCTTGAAATGTCGTTTTCATTGGTCAACAAATATGCTTTTTTGACAACATACCAAGCCCACTCCCAAAGACCTCAAACCCACAATTGAATAACTTGAGATAGTTTAGAGTGTAAGGAAGTAAATGCGTATGCAATCATATACAAAACATATATTTAATTTATTGTAATTTCCTAATGAGTTTTGTATTTTTGTTTAACATTTTGTTCACAGGAGATGCTCGTTTGTTGACGTGAAAGCTTATCTAAATGGAACAACGATGGGTGCATATGTAAAGAACATGTCTGTTGCTGAGAATTCCCCTGTTGAAACTGTCGTCGGAAGTATGGACGTACGTAGTAAATGCAATATACATTTTTTTTTGCTATTTACTGTTTAGAATGGAGTGGGGCTGGGGGCTGGGAAGATAGAAGGTGAATGTCAACGAATGTACAGTTAGACAATATTCCAATATATACGCTTAACGTTAAGTTGAAATAATTTTATCTAGGAAAGATTCGATGCCATTGTGGATGATGCATTTGGCGTCTTATCTAAATACTGCCATGGATTTGATCAAAGATCGTAAGGTTGTGTAATTGTCTCCTAGTGTCGATTTTCCCCTCATGCTTTTGGTTTTCCCTGCGGTGTATATTTCAACCAATAATCTATTTGTCAGTGCAATCAATCTTTTTGGCATCTTGGCTGTATAAGTCTCAATTTTTTTTTAGAAAAAGTTAGCACTTTGTATGAGTCAAATATTTTGCCTTGATTAAAATGTACCTTAGTTGGGAGTTTTTATTGTATTAGGTTAATTGAAAGAATTTGGTTATAAATTGTAATGAAACCTCATAGTTTTGTCAACTTGGATTAGCATTGAACGTATCCATTTTCTTCGTTTTCCCAAATCAATCTCCCACATCATTTGATATTTTACCTCACGGTGAAGAACATTTTACATTTTAATGATAATTGATTTCATTGCGTATAATTATGTTAAGATAATATCATAAACATGTAACCCCTTACAGCCTGTAAATGCAATACTGTCATATAGGGATAAAAGAAGTTGTTTATAGGTATTTGTATATTCGATAACATCATAAACATGTAACTCTAACAGGCTGTAAATGCAATACTGTCATATAGGGTAAAAAGAAGTTGGTTATAGGTATTTTTATATTCGATAACTTTATGAATTAGGAAATAATTTGTTGCAGCTTTCTGCTTACATTACTTTTTGTGTAATTACAAAGTGATTTTTTTCATATTTATATCGTAATTCAATATATATACATATAACTAAATATATAACGTCACAATGAAGATATTAAGATATGGAATCAAGAGGGCAGAATGTTTGACTCAAAGAATGATTAAGAAAAGTGTGCTTTTACCAGTATATTCTAGATCATTTTAAAAAAGGGGATTTTAAATTCCTTTCCATATCATTTATAATGAAAACTCAAGTTAAATCTTGCATATACTTAAAGACTACTTTTATAACGGGTTTGAAATAAAAATCTACTTGTGTGTATACCATATAAATGAAAAGGCTCACGGACATGTTCCTTCAATACAAAGTATACCCAGAGTGAGAGCGTTCTTTGGGTTCCCTTTGGTTGAATTTTCAGACTGAACTATCTAATTTCGTTCTAATTGCTAGATTCACGAAGCTACGTTCAGCATTGTGGAACATCACATACCTTTCAATATCAAAAGGTAAGTATAGGAAAATTCACTTAATCCTGGCAAGCTTCACATTCCACTAACTGATGATTTTCTTTTACGATTCTATTTTTCACTGTAAAACAAAAGTAAAGAATAGCAGTTTATAAAGGTTTAGAATGGTAAGTTTTAAACAAGAAAGGAAAAAACATGTCATGGCTTCTGGACGATTTTACCAAAAAATAGAAATGAAATTTTATTTATTTAGCCTTTGAGTTAAAACTTCATGAATATAGCAAATCTTTGCTCTAGCACTTTAATCAGGCCTCTTAAAGGTTACATTGGAATTTAAGGTATTTTCATAATTTTGAAGACTGAAAAAAACATTCCTAGACTTGATCTTCTCCTTGTAATTTTTTAAAACTTTCCATGCTAATATTTCCATTGTTCATAATTTACCTAATTATTCATCGATGTTGAGTTCGAACTAGGGATTTGTTGGCTCTTAGGTATTTTTCTTATAATTTTTGTGTTTGTCATTTTTTTTCAATGTTGACTTATTATGTCATGAAGGAAACTTGCATTGATATAACCTTATCCACATCTCTGATAAATGCTCAAAAGTTTAAGGACGTGATTTTGATCCAGAAAAAAAATGTTGTGCAGTAAATATTTATGTAATAAACAGCTGCAATAAACAAATAACCTTGAGCATTATCGTTGAAGTCGTTATGAAATTATTCATTTCATAAATAATAAATTCATTTTGCTTGATGAATGTTATATTCATGTCTTAACTTGTAATTAATACAATGAGTTGGGTCACTTAGAAATAAACAAACCCGATGCATCTATTTGTTACATGTTCAGTAACACGCCTGATTTACCTATTATATTTTTCTTGTAGTGACCATCTGGTTCGGACGACCCAAGTGTTTGATCGCGAGAACACTTCCACGTACACATTCACAGTGAAAGTAACTGGACAGGTAAATAGTAATTACATTAATCTCCTAATAATAACAGCTGCCATGGAAAGTAATGTAATCGGTTTTTCCATCTTTTATATATTTTCTGTGTGACAATGCATGTTCATATGTCGAACAATATCTTTAAATAGTTAATGGCACTCAGTTAATGTTTATGTTCCGTAATCAACATATTTGTTTCCTTTTCGAAAGAGTTTTGATAAGAAACAGACGAAATATATGTTTTGTAATTATATGATGTTATATTTAAACTTAAAAGAAGGGGACTGGCAGATTCCAAAATTTGTAACTTTGATGTAATTCAAATTAAGACAAACCAAATAAAAATGGATAAATGTTATGATTCCTATACAGTGTGATTGAGTGTGAGATGTTCACGACTCGTTGTAAGCTTATAAATTTTGACACAAAAACTAATTGATTATAATGTAAACATATTATTATTTTTGTACAGATTAATAGCGACGTAACTGTGAATGTAGCCGTTTTGGATGTGAACGACAACAGTCCAGTTTTCGACAAATCAGAATACGTTTTTGGTTTCCCATCAGGACGCTCTCCAGTTGGAAATATTCGGGTAAGAGCTATTCAAACTGATCTTTTGACAACTTCCGTCACTATTGCAGTCGAATTTAAGCCTAGTTCAATTAAAAAATGGAATTTTATATGATTTATCAATTGTTATTCAAATGTAGTAGACATATGTAACATAGACCTTAAGAGGTGATCTTGATTGTAAAAAAATAGTCCTAAGTTGATGACAAATATAAATGTAAAAAAAACACAGATTAACCTAATAAAAAGTAAATAATACTATATTATATCTAATAATTTTAATGATCAATTCACTTTGCAACGATTGAAAGCATTGTATTGGCGCTGTGGCTCGAGCCTCAAAATAAAAAATAGCTGACCATGGTTTGTTCTAAATTTCGAAAAGGTTCAACAATGGACAATGAGCCATTTAATATGCTCATAATTATTTTCGTAAGGAGCAATTAATCTTAAATTATAAACCTTTGGTCTGCTTCCTCCCATTGTCATACTTTTGTGAAACTATAACACCATTTGAGTATGTGGATACTTTTGTGACGTCATCGATCTAATCATGACGAAACTGAGTTTGGCTGTTCTAAGAACTACGAACTAGGACAATTTGTGTTTGATTTAACGTCCTCGCAACGACCAGGGACATATGAGGGAGGGTGTATAAGAAAGGCACCACCGGTAACGAATAGATAGGAAAGAAAGTAAAAAGGAATGATAGTAAGAATGCAATGGGTACAGGCGATCAATGTTGGTCTCTTCCGTGTCCTATTAATAGATAACACCGAAAACAAACCGATTCTGCAGGGGAGTCTACAATAGCCGCATTTTAGGATCTCCAATGCCCCTAAACAAAAGACAAGGAAGAAACCATCCCAGATTATGCAGGGGAACTTATTAGTCCCTTCTTTCGATCATGTAGTGGGATAAAGCAGGTCTAATTTCCTTGGCCCAGGACTTGTTCAGCCCAGAAACTGAGGGTCCTGACATGGTTTTTCAAGGTCCCACCATCATATAAAGACAAACCTGCCATTTCTGGCATCATTGGGGATTTTTAATTAATTGTTATATTCGTAATGTAGAATAAATGAATATGCAAATATGAAATTTCAAATTCATTCGACAACTGATTTAGGAGATATGGCATTACATAGAGAGACATAAATCCGCATTTTCATAATAAAATGCGTGAATATCGTCTGTTGTGCGCTATTTGGTTGAAAATTGGCCATTTTGAAGGAAATTAACTAAACGCTTTTAAATTTTTGAAAGACTCCTCATGTGGAGGAATTTTGTTGCTATGGTAGGGCATCTACGTCTGATGTTTATAACAGAACTTGGTGAATAAATTCAAGTTGAATGCACGGATTGTTAAGAGAATGAAATAGCTTGATTAAGCATAACAAATAAATTAAAATGTATAAATAAAAATTATTTTTTACACAAATGGTGTAACGATCCAACAGCAAGCAATACTATTACTGGCGAGCTAACATATAACTACCGGGCTTTTGTTATAGAGTTGTCACCAATAACAAAAGCACTATCTGCTGTACATTGTTCACTTAAATTTGAGTTAACAAGCTTGACCAGTGTACAAACGTAACACATTACATTAATGATATTCTAATTATATCAACTTTCCTCCAGGCAACAGACGTAGACTTTGATGAGAATGGAAATGTTTCATATAGCTTTCAACACTCTTTGTAAGTATATTGCCAGTTTTGTTAATGCCATGTCTGTCAATGTGTTCTTAAAACAGTCAAAAAGAAGTTTTATAAAAAAAACATTTGTCTATTTGATCATTGTTTAAGTGAGTCAAATAAGTAACTTAATGAGGTTTGTTTTAACAATGAATTTTTTACATTGCAATTTCGTTAATTTAACTTCATCATAGTTTAGGTTGGTAAACATGGAAAACTTGGTGAAACTGTCATCGCCTTATCCCATACTTAGAGGTTTTTTTCATTCCATCATTGGCAAAAACGTTACTAAGAATAGGAAACATCTTTAGCTGCATAGCAATAGCTGTCAATAAATCAATTAGGAAAAGAAACGTATATCTTGTGGAACTTTAAAAATAAGACTTTTAGTTTAATTATAACTAATGAAAAGAGTTGTATAATCTATATCCTATAATATATCGGGCCTCGCTTCTTGAGCTGCTATGGTTATCCCCGCTTGTTATAGGATAGCATGTAATATAGGTTCTGCCATAATCTCTGTTAACCTCGTCAATTCATTTATTATTAAATATTAGGAACAGAACATTCATCAATTGTAATAAATGCATCAATAGCGTATATTTACATTTGCTGTGCATCCTTCCATTGCTATGCATTGAGAAGGTAAATGTTGTTGGGAGACTATAACAACTTTTGCTATTGTAACGTCATCAAACTCTATTGTGACGTCATAAATTTCATTGTTGTCAATGCTTAATTTGCTGTTCAAAGAACTATTCGAAATACCTTAATAAAGCGTAACTACTCTATCAAAATATGAATATTTTAGCAAATATTGTTAAGGTCCTATAACACGAATTTCTATTGCCGGGCTTTATTAAGTTTGTCATCAATAGTAATGTGTGATATAGGACCATAACAACATTTGCTTAAATAAAATATACGGACATCGATAAATGCTAGGAACATGGAATATGTCAATTATATAAATGGATAAATAGCATAAAAGAAATATGAACATTTTATTTCAGTGTTGCAAACAAATATTTCGATATCGACTCTCGATCAGGGGAAATAACTCTTTCCGGGGTCACCATACCTTCATATCAGTCTTCGTTCCAACTAGGCGTTTTGGCATCAGACAACGGTGATCCTCCTATGCAGTCCTTCTGTTCAGTTTACGTAAGACAGTTTCCAATTATATATTCATAATTAATTATTAACTGTTTCATAATTAAATCTTAATGGATGACAAATAATCGGACGACCAGCTAAATCACATCTGTATTTACATTAATTAAAAAAAAACTTTTATCGAAAGAACAATTGATAAAGAGTATGTTTTTTAATTTTGAAAAGGAAAGCAAACATTTGAATGTCAATATCTGATATCGTTTTAATACATTACATCATTATATTTGAGATAATTTTGTAAACTTTGATTTTTTTTTATCTAACTGTGAAGAGATGTAAGGTATGATATCTTTTGAGAATTTTATGATTTGACTTTTGAACGATAAATCTAAAATGATTTCGAAGTTGTCAGGTCATTTTATCGATAAATATATAAATTAATTATGTTGAATATTCATCACCGTAATTATTATGTTTTCTCTGGCAGATATCTCGAGTTTCAGTGAAGGGAAATTACACCGTCATGATTGCTACTCCGTTAGAAGAAGATGATCTTAAAAATATGTTGTCAGATTTGAAAAGGTAAAAGAGTAAAAGAAAATTAGATTAGTTTTCAAAACAAAAATATTAGGAGACAACTAAATCAAAAAAAATAATTATCGAAACATTATAATAGCACATGAGGTTCTCCAAATGGTATATATAGGATCTTAAATGACTTTTCATTTCCTATGAGATTTTATGAAACGAGTTTTATTTTTGCGAGCCTTTGCGAGACGAGTTTCATAAAAGCTCATATGAAATGAAAACAAATTTAAGATACCTTTTATCACATAACTCAGAAAACTAACATTTTGACAGGTACTTAAGATACTTTTTATCACATAACTCAGAAAACTAACATTTTGACAGGTTTTAAAGCCAAAATGTAGAGGGCTTAATCAAACGGAGACAGACATTTTGTTGCGCCATTCACAATTTATGACGTCACGTCATTGTCCATATTATGACGTCACAATCGACTTCTGACTGGAACAGCCAATGAAAAACGCTCCAGGGTATATTACACTAGTGACATATGTAAAAATATTACACAGGCGAATTCACTGGATAACAGGCCGATTATGTGATACAAACATTTATTACATACTTACTAATAAATACGGTTTTTTTTGTATATGCGATACGACACAATTGCTCTAACCCATATCAGCCCTCGCCGTATCACACCCCTTTTGGAAATTTTTCATTTTTCAATATTTCAAAAGAAAAATATATCATAAGATAGTTGCTTTTATTAGTAAGTATGTAATAAACAGAATAAAACACGTCTTTTTCCATATCACACCCACGCCTTTGGCCCTCGGGCTGATATTGCAGTATCGGGTTGATACTGGGTGTGATATGGAAAAAGACATGTATTATTCTCTATCTATTTTCTTCAAAAAAGTTCGTAACAGTAATTGTCTTCTTTCAAAAGTATAAAGGTCATCAATAAGTCTTAGTCCATCGTAGACACTGGGACTTTATTAGTTATGATAAGGTGATGATGTCAAACGTTTAATTTCGCCAGAGTACTTCAATGCTCCACCGGTAGGAAACCCTGACTAAATAGATTTATCATCAACAGGACGTAAATAATATGTGGTTGTTTGAATCAACATTTGTCATGTTGTATTTAGTGGTCATTAAGATCGTAAAACTTGTTTTAATTTTAAGATTTTGTTTCACTATTAAAAGTTTTACCAGTTTGTGTTACGAATCACAAACAGATCATTATGTATTGAAATTACGATGTGTTTCATACCATCTTTGTTTTGGCATTATTGAAATTAACTGCACGGCATTTATGTTAAATAGGAAAGATTTGAAAAATGCATAACATTTATGGATTTCAGTAAAATTGGCAACATTCTAAATTTAACTGTCAACGCGCAAGTGTCAACAGCTATCCATAAAAGGGCGACAACCACACAAGTACCAAGGTCAGTGTTATATTTTCCAACATATCATCAAATTTCCGCTGAAAATATTTTAACGTCATTATTGTACGGAATTTCAATCGAGTTTGCATCAAGAGCGATGATTCAAATCTTAGATTAAAAAGTTATATTTTAATGAATAATTTAATTATGAGATACACTTGTTTGATAGAAAGTAATTTCAATGTTTAAGCTATTGAAGAATGAGTTTTTCATTAAATGTATCACACTGATATATATATTGCAACAATAGCTGTCTTGTAAGTGTTTCATATTGCGTTATCCTTCTAATATATCTATCAACTTTTGATATGTGCTATGGTAATAATAATAATAATAATAAAACTTTATTTAACGGGTATGACATGTTTAGCCAAAGGCTAATCTACCACATGGTCCTCATGGTAGTATAGTATAAACATTTATAATGGTAATGAATGCATTATGCAATTTGTAGGATAATCATTTTGAATGTGTTTTTTTTATTATTATTTAAGAGGGATATTAGAAATATCAGCACAGTATAAGAATGGAACGAAGGTACTGGCAAAAGATCTTCAAAGGTAGGATTTTATATTGTGTGTTATTAAGGATGCCTGACCCACTACACTTATGTTTTTCTTAAAAAGAGAAACCTTCCCTTTATTTTGTTTTGAATATAACTGTAGCAAAGTGTTGCCAGTACACTTCCGCTGACTATGTCGCTCAGTAGGAGAGAGGAATAGCATGACAATATGAAGTCCAGGGTTCGAATCCTGGGCTAGCTCCGATGAAATTTTACACTCAGAACAAAGAGATTGATTAGTGCTGTTATTTTTTCGATACTATTTTTCAAAAACATTCCGCATGGTATGGTTCTTTTTCGGAAATTGATCTATCAAACTACAATCAGGCAGAGGGGGGTCAAAGGGGGGGGGGGGGTTCAAACAGAGTGTAGTTATGTTTGCAGTAGTATGGGGAACCTTAAAGAAAATATTTACAGATAATGATGTTCATCGCGTTATGCTATAAAAAAAATTTGTTCGAGTCTGTTTGTGACAATATGCTATATGTATTAACAACAACTCATTCCATTACGTGATAAGTCGATGTTGGTAGTGTACTCTTGACTATCACGACTTCCGTGATAGATATCGACAGCTGACGGACAATATTATAACACAGAGTTTGCAAAGATGAAATTGATGGAAACTGTGGACAAATTTTATGGTCGCCACCAGAATTTTGTAGAGAAATATGTTGTTCCCTTGAGTGATATGAAGGTCGATTTTGTTTAAGTATGCTCTTTACAGAGTGTATTGTGGTTTTGTTGCCATGAACCGAGTTCTCGATGTGAGGAGGTGACATTACTTGGATTCGATTTAGATTTTCATGGCGGATGTCATCGATGAAGCAGAAAACGTTTACCCTTCCAGAACACCTGGTCTTATTCTTCTTGTACTTTTTCAATTGTCTCCATACACATCTTTCCTTTGTTCATATTTTGATTTAGTTTTGTCGAATTTGGATTCGAATTGCGATTTTGTTGACTCCTTGGTATTCTCTTGCTGTTGGTTGTTAAAATCAGGCTCAATATTACAGATTTTGTTTTCATTGACATCAGAACAATACCTGTCTTACAGAGCCATGATTATCTATGTAGAAATCAGGCCATATCCGATTGTATTAATGTCTATGTATTTCTTATAGGGATCATCTCATTCAACTACGTGGTAACTCACTTGTGTCATTTGCCGAGAGGCGTTCTTCTTTAAATCACGTATATCGACGTTTATTTTTAGAACTAACTCTTTAAATATGTTGTTGTTGTTGTTGTTGTTGTTGTTGTTGTTGTTGATTTAGATAATGTTCCAAATTTACAAATCTGGTTTAAACATGTTTCATTACAGTTTTGAAAAGTTTACAAATTTTAGACTAGAATCTGTTCATATTGTTTCATTCCGTCTTTATTTTATTCAGAGAAGTGCTGCTTCACTTGTCCGAGATAGAGGCTCTCTGGGCAGCAGAAGTTAACGTTCCAAAGAAAGTCAGTACCGACGATTCGAACTTGAGTCAGATAGCCCTAATCGTCGTTGCTGGTGTGATGTTGCTGGCAACTTTGATAGCGGTCATCATCCTTTCCGTCAAATGGAGAGAGTATGTGCCACACTCTTCTTCTCTTTACTACCTCACCCTAACACCTTTCCTATCCGTCAAATGGAGAGAGTATGTGCCACACTCTTCTTCTCTTTACTACCTCACCCTAACACTTTCCCCTAATCACAATATAAACCATTAAGTCTCCACGTATGCCCCCTTATCGCCATTGTTATCCTCTTTAAAAAACGAATACCTTCCATTCATCCCTGTGCGTATTTCAAACGCCAAAAGAAAGCTCTCAACGAATAAATACGTATCCCTATCACTCCCGCACTCATAGCCAAGACCTACATACATATCACAAACATCCAATGTATATTGTGTGTCTCTTTTCTATTTCACAGGTTCAAAGCTCGCGAGAAGATCCTCAGACTTAATGATAATTTGACTCGTCGCAGTTCTTTGTATGAATCACAAGAAATCAAAGTAAAAATGGATGACGAGACCTCGGATTATAACGGATCACTCAACACACAGGATCTGGAGTCGTACGACAATGGACATCGCCCTACGGGGGAACTAAATTCTTTCGAAAACCCAATCTACAAAGGAGAAGATTTGGACGAAACTAGAGTAAAGGCTGAAGCCGTAAACGAGGCTCTGTTAAGTCTTAACGACCTGTCCAACCGACTAGAGGAAGAGGACCCATTGGCGCCTAAACCGGATTACGAGAAAAGCGAATTCGAAAACGGTTCCAGTTTGTTTCAAAACGGGGACAGTGAATTGTCAGATAATGTTATAAATGGCGATCTGAACACATATGATTCGATGGATAGCGTTAAAAACACCAATAATAATCAGTATGAGAATATTGAATTTGGTGATGACTTTCCTGTTACAAGTGGTTTCGCTGGGTTAAAGATCGATGGAAAAATGATCAGTAGCTCCGGCGAGGGACACGATGATGACGTTTTTATAGAAGAGAATGACGACACGGATGAAAAAATGACCTCGGACAATGACGTCATACCCGAGGAGGAACCGGATGTAGACTATCACCTGAAACAGGTGCGATTCGCGAACCGAGTAGTTAATGCGGTCACGAACGTTGCTGAAGAACTTAAACCAGATAAGTCTGAATTAGTCAAAGACACAGGTAAGGAAGTCGATTCTAAAATCGATGACGACGACAGTGGGGATGATAATGATGACGACGACGGTAAAGTGTTTCTGGTTAATGAAGACTCAAACAACGAATATGAAAACGAGGCGGACTTTCGGGTTGATACCACCAACGCGTCAATTCGAATGGACGAGGAGATAAACTCACCGTTAGACTTTCTCAAAAACGACGAAAACAACGCTGATGCGGGGGAGGATAACGGAACATTTGTTTTCGGGGAGGAGGAATGCACATCTTTGTAAATTTTATACTACAAGACTGTTTTCTGAAATTTTGTTTCTGCCTTACTCGCCCTTTGAATGCGAAGGTGGAGGTAAATTGGATACTGTTGCAAAGACTCTTGAAGCTTTATATTTCCACTTGAGTTAGAATTTAATATTGGATTAGCTGACATTAAAAGACCAACGGTCACTCCATCGGGTCGCATTATTTACCGTGTAATCGCACCCAAAAGTGTAAAAAACAAAATGAAAGAAATGTGCTATTTTTGTATTTTAAATGACATGATGACAGGAAATGTATAAACTATGTTAAAAGTATTCTAACCAAGAATGAGTGCGGGTGAATACTATTTTATATAATATCTAAATATGTATAACTATTAACTAGATATGCAGACTGAATATATCACTTGTATGCTCTTTTATTACTCATTTCTTGAGCTCTTTTTGTATATTGATGACTGACGTCACAGTTTAAGCAAAGCCATGGTTACCAATCAAGGCTAAGCTCTTAACTGTATAATATGTGCCGAACACATGTTATATGCCAAAATCTAGTTAAGTTAATTATAAATTGCTTTAACTTGAAACAAAGCTGACCCGATCAACGAATTTGATATGTTCAAGCCTATCCAAGAATAAATATCGTAAAAAGAATACAGAAATAGGTGTTTTTTTATAATCAGATGATAGTTATACGCATAGTAGCGACATGTACCAACAAGTGATTTCTTAGTCAAGTGTAACTAAGTGACAGTAATAGACAGGTGGTCGGTTGGGCAGATTTGAAGAACGTTAACGACAGATAAATATTGTTTGACTTGACTAATCTAGAATAACAAAGCGTCTTACAAAGTATGTATATACCATTCATTTAATCAATTAATTTAATCAATCCATATAAGGATCTTGCAAGAGCTGGCTCGCCCTATGCCAGCTGTTTAATACCTCCACATGTGACTGTGCCTGCATGAGTGCTGGAGGTGTACTGGTACGTGCTATATTTTTCGTTTTGCAACGAGACCGTGCTTCCAATGACAAAGTATCTTCTGTATGTATGAAGGTAGTTTAAGACAGATGATATATATAGGCAAATGATCTCTAAAGCAAGTTTAGCTGCTGCTAAAGATAGACGGTACACTAGTGTATCTACAGACGGGTGGCTCTAAGACATGTTTGACGGTGGTTTTAAACAAGTAGTAGCTAAGGAAATGTAGTAGCTATAGAAAACGTTCTCGAGTTTGCCTGTAGCTATATGACATACAGGTGGTATCTACAGCGCGTTGGTAATCTGAAACAAGTTTACCTGTAGAAATAGACCGATGGTTGCTATAGACAGGTAATCAATATGAGTGGTTTGACTGAATATGTTATCATTATTGTGTATTAAACAGTGTAAATTGTTTTGTTTTAGCAATGTTATGATGTTATTTGACCATGCTGTTGTTATATTTTACATTTTTCATCAATGTCCTTCCTAACATTCGATGAAGATATATTTCAATCACAGCTGTCATCGATTTTACTTTAAGTTAGTAAAACGTCCCAGGGGGTCTTAGGGATTTTGCTGAAGTTTGTTTTGTAAATAATTTTGTTTTATAAACGTGTTGCCTTTTACCTTTTTGAAGTATAATCAAAATAAAATTATGTAACAAGAAAAAACTGTGCTGTGATACGGGAATGCTCCAGATGATGTTGTTTCTGCCCTTTTTGACATCACATGGATCAAATTGCATTATACTCAAACATCTCTTTTTCGTCAAAATAGAAATGTATATCTGATCAATAACAAAGCTTAAGTCAGATAAATGAGGATTTAACATTTTTTAGTGAAGTCATTCTGTATTGCTTTTAAAAAATAAGAACAACTATTTTGTGTAAAATAGATGAAATTATTTCAAAATATGTCGAATAACATGTTACTAGTCTATTACTTCAATATAAATCCTAATATGCAAACAACCAGAGCGAAAATATAATGCATGAGTTATTTCCCTTTACAATTTTAAATTTTTTTTGAAAATCTTTTACTATTATTATTATTCATCATGTGATGATTAGTTATGTGTTTCTAAAAGATCGTTGTGCTTCAAACAGATACTAACAAAATATTACGTTGAATTACAAAACATGGTCCATCTGGTGTCGCAAAATGTTAAAAATAGCATTATCTTAAGTATCAATATTCTTTGGTGATTTCAAGTTCTTATTTGCCCTTTTGACATTGTAATGATCCCTGCTTGCGTTAAGCAATATCGATTAATCATGTTCTTCTCATTCGTAATCGGAACGACGACGACAACGACGACGACGATGATGATGATGATGATGATGATGATGATGATGATGATGTTGATGATGATGATGATGATGATACCAGTATACTTTCTTCACATATGGAATCAGAGAATTTTTCTACATGTGTCAAACAATTTGAAAATGTGGAAATCGAAACGAAATAAATTTTTCTCAATTTTTTATGTGCTTTCCCATTTTTAATGATCATCATTGTTGTGCGTGAATGTATCTTCCGTCTCATCAGCGGACCAGCCCAGATTTTAATATGGAAGACGTGGAAGGTGCACAATTAATAGAATATTCTTTAATGGAAAATACTATCGAAATCTGAATTCCCACTGTTAAATACCACAATTTCCGAATGGGTGCAGCATTAAGTTATCTGCTACAGAGTTAAAATTTCTAGGTTGAGCAACATAATAAATTTCAAAAACAATTCTGTTTTATTTTTTCCTTGCTGTTCATTTTCCATCACAGGTATGTAGACATGAAAGCTATAAATGTAGTAAAATAATAACAATAACAATAATAATAATAATAATAATAAGACCTGTGAATGCTTAACTTCATTTCTGCGAGTAAAAAGCTCGGTCTGATTTCCTTGGCTTGTAATCTTGCTTATAACTAATGACTTTTTTCTAGAGATGAGATGTTGACAAAAAGCTACTGTATTGTAAGTAATTTCCGCAGTGGATTTAACTTTACTATGTATATTCGGTCACCAAAGATAGCACGGAATTAAATACCCGGCAAATATTAATACCATGATTATCAGACATAAAAGAAAACGACCTGTTTATCCCGTGAATACTGATTAATGGAGATAAAAGAGCAATTCAAAATCAATTTAAATCTAATTACCAAAACACAAAAGTACCTTCGTGAGCGCAAAATTTGTTCATGGTATTATTGCGCGAAATTATTTTCCGTGGACTAGTTCTGATTTAGATAATAGAAAAATATAAGCCCCGCGAAGTTAAACTATAATTTAATCTTAAGTTGCCTCAAACAATCACTTTAAAGAAGATTTAACATGTCTATAATATATCCATTAATTTCATAAGAGCCAGCTTCTCCGTTTCTCGTTTCGATTTGACCTAGATGATGTTGCGGATGACACACATGGCGCTTACCCTTCCGAAACACCCTTTGTTCACGGTTCTGTTTACAAACTCTTAACCGCCATATCAACCGCGGGAACACGAACATTTTGAAATTTTAAGAATGAGACCATTAAATTACGTTAAAATCACAAATGATGTCTATTAATACTTTATCTTATATCATTTGTCATAGGCGTGTATTTTTTTTATATGATATCCAATATTTTGTTTTAAATAAAGTATATTAATCATCTTTGACTGACCTAACCAAGCTTAGAAGAGCCGAATTATTTTCGCCTTCCATTAGAAACAAAATAGCTTCAGCTTGACATCATCAAACATATTTCTAAAAGTAAAACAAACACAAAGTATCTAATATAAACCATTTAATTTTCCTATTTTATACAGTGGAATTTGTTCACGACTTTGTGAATTTGATTGTCGACTTATCTTGAAATAAAGAAATCCTCAACCAACAATCAAATGACATCGTTTAGTCTGAACATGTCATATCTGAACTAAACATGTGGGCAAAGTGAGTGAATATTACTTACCCGAACTAAATATGTTCAACACAAACATCAACTAAATGTGTGGTCATTACATATCTTATCTAGGTCAAAGCACTTAACATATTTGAACTAAATCTGGTAGCATTACATATCTGAACCACATCTGTTAGAATAACATATCTAAAATAAATATGTTAACATTACATATTTGGACCATATCTGTTAAGATAACATCTTAATAAATTTAACATTAAATATATGAACATATTATATGAACAACACATATATCAACTAAATGTCTGTTAGAATTACATATCTTAAATAAATATGTTAGCATTACATGTCTGAATCATATCTGTTAAAATTACGTATCTTAAATAGATATGTTAAACATTACATATTTGAACCATATCTGTTAAGATTACATATCTTAAATAAACCTGTTAACATTAAATATATGAACTAAATATGCGAACAACACATGCATCAACTAAATGTAAGAACATCACATATCTAAATTAAATTTGGGAACATCGCATAATGAACTTAATCTGTGAGCATCTAATAATTGAACTAAATACTGTAAAAATGGATAAAATTTTCGAAATTTCTCGATTCATTTCAGCGTTTCTTATCTTAAGCATTGTTACATGTTTAGGAAGGAAAGATATATACGCGAGGATGAAAATTGTGACGATTCCACTAACAACAAAATCAGCGAAACGTGACGTGAATGGGCGAAATTGACAGATTTGGTGTCATTTAATAGAATGTGTGTTGGTAAAACATAATTTGTAAATTGGAAAGCCCAGCCTCCATACGTGATATTCCCAATTATCTTTCAAATACAGCAGTAAATCGGCATGTCATACAAATTAAAGCAGGTATTTGCAAACTAGCTCTTGCTCTGTATCTAAGCAATCGATCTCATACTGCAAAAAGGAGAACATTTTCGCGTGTTGAATAGTTAGTATTGTAACGCTTTAAACTGATTGCGTGTGTGGACATTTTCACGTTGGCAATAATTATGATATATATATGTATTCTTCATATGTATAATATTCGCGTGTGGAAATTTTTTGCGTTAATTTGCTGAGCACGAAAAATAACGAGCATTTCCACACCACGAAAAGTTTTACTTTTACAGTATCCAGAGTAAGACACTGTGGTCAAACTCAAATCTTACTGTTAGTGAGAAAGATCCCGGCAAGTCAGAAGCAATATGGTTTGTGAACATATCTTGAATTTGAGAATGAGGAAAGGTTCGTTGAATCACGACCCTTTAGGCCAATTACACCGATTAATCATGACTCAGTATGTTAAGAGATCAATATGGAGACAGAAACTTATTACTCATAACATTCTTTTGTTTAGAAGGTTCCTGGTAATAAATAAAACTTACATATTTCATACAATGTGCACCGCATAAAATTACAACAGAATAACATACATGAAGTTCAACTCGTTGCAAACAAACATGTATTAAATTTGTCCTATAACTAGTTTCACCAAATACCATTATGATCCAATTTTGAGGCAAAACGATTCTTTAAAAAATCATATTGCAGTAACGATAGTGGATGATTTTGGTTGAACCAGGTTTGGCATCTGTTGACACAAACCATACGGTACTTGCATATGAATGTACACATATATGTATCCTAATTGTAAATTCCATTGATAAGATAATCAACTCTGGAGTAATGGCGTCTCTGCCACCCATCGTAACACCTCTTCCCTACTATCGCTGTTACAGCAAAGAAGAAGAGGACTCCGAAGGAGAGAGCAGCGATCAAGGCCGCTGACACGATGTTCGGGTGATCGACAAAAGGGGCGTCGTAGGTGTCCGGCAGATCTGAAACAGATAAGTCATATTACAGTGAAAACTATTAAGTCGGGATTCAAGATTGTTTTGAGTAATGAAGTAGGAATAAACTAATTAAAATTATCGTTACAACACAGACTGAGTCAAAAGTAATTTCTTTCCTGGTCATAAGCGTCCGGAAGTGAAACTTTTTTGGAATATCAGATCCCGGATTAAACATAGGAACCAATAAAGTAAGGATTCATTGCACCTTTTTCTTCCTTATTTATGATTAACAGACAAATAACAAATTGCTTAATCAAATGAAATTGAGTGTGTTTACTTCGTTTCAAGCACATCAAAGGCATGTATTTGTTTTGCAAAAACATGAGGAAACGACATTTCAGAATGAGTTATTAATATTCCTGGTTATATTCTACATAAATTGTGCCATGGTCTCCATGTGAATATTTATTCAGTTCGTATTTTAGTTTTCAGTTCGATTAACAGTTTCGTTTACATGCAGGTATTATCTCTTTTTAATTTATCATTTTCAATAAACATTACTAGACATATAAACTTTGTCATGGTACGGGGACAAAAATGAGGGAAAACAGAAAATTACGGAAATATAATACCAGTTTAAAACAAAAGTATTCTCAAATTGCACGTAATGGGTTTCTTGTATAATATAATATAAGAATTAACCAAAAATAGACATACTCAAAATTACAAAGAATAAAATATTAGTATGGCATGCATTAGCTGTTTCTATTAATGTAAAGTTTTGGTATGATAAATAATTTTTCGATACTTTGATATGCTTTCTTTCTTTTAAATAGAATTAATCATAATCATTTCATCAAAGTAGTTTGTTTTTATATCGCTATGTCCACCGAAAGTGCCAGACACCGCAACACATTGCAGTGTGTGACGTAACATCAGAGGAAATTACGTCAAAGGCTTTTTCTTCGGCAATGTGTGGTTGATTGTGCATTTTTTAAGCATAATGTAGATCAGAGATGTGAATGTAGTTTGTCATTTATATAAATACACATGTATTAATAAATAATGAGTAATGAAAATAACTAGTATTAATAGGGGTAGCTTTTGATCCTTCGGGGATTAATACTAAACGCCAGCATTCAAAGTGGATTTTGATTTTGATTTTCATCGATGTAGCAAAATATATCGAGATCCTCCATTACTTATATTTACAATATTTGTGTGATTTAGGTGTTTTTAAATTATTTGTTATAAAGGTGTTTCAAACTAAATTGTCATTTAGGTGTTTGACATTTTTTGGATTTAAGCGTTTTTTAAAACAATTTGTGGTTAAGTCGGTGGGTTTTTTTTTTTTCATATTATATCCTTTTATATTATTAGTGATTTTAGTGTTTTGTTTTATTTGTAATGGGTTTTATTTTATTTGTGATTTTTATGTTTTATGTTTGTGACATATTTATTTTTTTGTATTATATTTGATTTAAACGTATTTCTATTTAGATAGAATCGCGGTAATCCGGTCTCTGAATATCCAAATAAACTAACTTATTGGAGGCAAATGAAATAACTAAAAAAAATGCATGTTGAAGTAAAATTATAATTTATCACAAATTTTCTACAAATTACAAAACAAAAATTACAATGTAATTAAATAGAAGAAAAAGCCTAGAAAAGGTCAATTAGTTCCAATGTATATGATAAACAAATATCCACCAAGATTGCCTAGGAGATGTATAAGCGCAGGTTGATTTCAAAGAAGAATTGTATTTTAGGTAAAATAGAAACCAAAATTACCTTCATTTAGGTCTATTTCGTCATAAGGAATAGTAGTAGAAGCAATCACTTGCAGTAATGACACTGTTTGTTGCGTGGATTTAGTTGTATGGTCTTGTGTTTTGCTGGTCAGTGTAGTAGATTGTGGTTTGGTTGTTTGGTCAATATCTTTTGTAACAGTGAAAGGCACTTTAGTAGTGCGTGGTGGGGGTAAAGTCGTAGTTTTTTGTGGTTCTGTTGAATGCTGGTGCACAGAAGTTGTATGTTTGTGTGCAGAAGTTGTATGTTGGTGTGTTGTAGTTGTATGATAGTGTATTGTAGTTGTATGCTGTGGTGCTGTAGTAGACTGGGGATTTACTTTTGTTTTGATCTCTGTTATAGGCTGTGGTGAATTGTTATCCCCTTTTGTTGTTTTTATATCTGAGTTAGGTTTCTCAGTAGCCAAAGGACCAGCCGATACGCCCGTTGTCGACATTTGTGCGTTATTGTTATCCTCGGTGACCTTAACTATCTCGGTCACTGAATTAAAAAACGGTAGTGTGGAATATATCGGGGTTGTTGTTTGTTTCATAGAAGAGTCTGTTTTAGTTGTAGGCGGTGCCGTTAGGTCATTTTGAAGTATGAACTGCGCAGTAGTAGGTTTTGTGAGTTCCTTTAAAGGTGGTTCTGTTTGGTCAGTTTGCAGTGTGAACTGCGTAGTAGTAGTTTCTTTGAAATCACGTTTTGCTGGGATGGTGGGTTTGTCAGAGTCTTTCGGGGCTTTAGTCGTAGGTGATTCTGTTCGATCAGTTTGCAGTGTGAACTGTGTAGTGGTAGTTTTTTTTTTTGAATCAGATTCAGCCTGGAGCGTTGGTTTGGCAGACGTTATCTGGATTTTAGTCGTAGGCGGTTTTGTTAGATATGTTTGAAGCGTGAACTGTGTAGTGGTGGGTTTTTCTTTGGAATCAGTTTCAGCTGGGAGCGTAGGTTTTGCAGACGTTATTGGGGCTTTAGTTGGTTCTGTTCGATCAGTTTGCAGTGTGAACTGCGTAGTAGTAGTTTCTTTGAAATCACGTTTTGCTGGGAGCGTGGGTTTGTCAGAGTCTTTCGAGGCTTTAGTCATCGGTGGTTCTGTTCGATCAGTTTGCAGTGTGAACTGTGTAGTTGTACTTTCTTTGGAATCAGTTCCAGCTGAGAGCTTAGGTTTTGCAGACGTTATTGGGGCTTTAGGTGGTTCTGTTCGATCAGTTAGCAGTGTGAACTGCGTAGTGGTACTTTCTTTGGTATCAGTTTTTGCTGGGAGCGTTGGTTTGTCAGACGCTTTCGGGGCTTTAGTCGTAGGTGATTCTGTTCGATCAGTTTGCTGTGTGAACTGTGTAGTGGTGGGGTTTTCTTTGGAATCAGTTTCAGCTGGGAGCGTGGGTTTGGCAGACGTTATCTGGATTTTAGTCGTAGGCGGTTTTGTTAGATCTGTTTGAAGCGTGAACTGTGTAGTGGGGGGGTTTTCTTTGGAATCAGTTTCAGCTGGGGGCGTAGGTTTTGCAGATATTATCGGGGCTTTAGTTGGTTCTGTTCGATCAGTTTGCAGTGTGAACTGTGTAGTGGTGGGTTTTTCTTTGGAATCAGTTTCAGCTGGGAGCGTAGGTTTTGCAGATATTATCGGGGCTTTAGTTGGTTCTGTTCGATCAGTTTGCAGTGTGAACTGTGTAGTGGTACTTTCTTTGGTATCAGTTTTTTCTGGGAGCGTTGGTTTGTCCGACCCTTTCGGGACTTCAGTCGTAGGTGATTCTGTTCGATCAGTTTGCTGTGTGAACTGTGTAGTGGTGGGCTTTTCTTTAGAATTAGTTTCTGCTGGGAGCGTTGGTTTAACAGACGTCATCGGGGCTTTAGTCGTAGGCAGTTTTGTCAGATCTGTTTGGAGCGTGAACTGTGTAGTGGTTGGTTGTTCCTTTGAATTTGTTTCTACTGAGATCGTTGGTTTGACAGACGTCATCGGGGCTTTAGTCGTAGGCGGTTTTGTTAGATCTGTTTGCAGTGTGAACTGTGTAGTGGTACTTTCTTTGGTATCAGTTGTTTCTTGGAGCGTTGGTTTGTCCGACCCTTTCGGGACTTCAGTCGTAGGTGATTCTGTTCGATCAGTTTGCAGTGTGAATTGTGTAGTGGTGGGCTTTTCTTTAGAATTAGTTTCTGCTGGGAGCGTTGGTTTAACAGACGTCATCGAGGTTTTAGTCGTAGGCAGTTTTGTTAGAACTGTTTGGAGCGTGAGCTGTGTAGTGGTTGGTTGTTCCTTTGAATTTGTTTCTACTGAGATCGTTGGTTTGACAGACGTCATCGGGGCTTTAGTCGTAGGCGGTTTTGTTAGATCTGTTTGCAGTGTGAACTGTGTAGTGGTACTTTCTTTGGTATCAGTTTTTTCTGGGAGCGTTGGTTTGTCCGACCCTTTCGGGACTTCAGTCGTAGTTGGTTCTGTTCGATCTGTTTGCAGTGTGAAATGTGTAGTGGTGGGATTTTCTTTGGTATCAACCTCAGCTGGTATGGATGTTGAGAGCATTGATTTAACAGGAACCGTGGTGGCTTTTGTTGATGGCGGCTCTGTCAGATCTGTTTGGAGGGTGAACTGGACAGTTGAGGACTTCTCTTCTGGCATTGACGTAGGTGTTGCTGGGATTATTACTGTGGGTTTAGGTACTGTGATGTTAATTGTCATAGGTTTGGGTGTGCTGGCTTCGATTGATATTGGAGATGGTTTAGGTGTTGTAAGGTTTACTGTAGTTGTTTTTGGGGTTGTAAAGACCACTGCTGTAGATTTCTGTGATTTTTTGTTTACTACTGTCGGTTTAGGTGATGTGGGTCTCGATGTCAAGGGTTTGTCTAAATCAGGGTTGGATGTTATTGGGTTCATTGATGTCGGTTTAATAATTGTGTTGTTTACCGTTGTAGGTTTTGGTGTTGTTGGAATAATTATTTCGTCTTTATGTGTTGTTTGAATTTCTGATAAGTGTTTAGGTGTTGTTGGATTTAACGATTTTGCTTCTGGTGTTGTGGGGTTTACTGATGTAGGTTTAGCTTCTGATCGGTTTGTTGTAGTAGTTTTCGGTGTTGTTTGGTTAACAGATGTTGGTTCAGCAATGGCAGGGTTTACTTGTGTCGGTTTGTTTGTTATGGAGTTTATTTCCGTTTCTTTTTGTGTTGTTGGGTTTACAGATGTCTGTTTGAGTGTTGTTGGGTTTACTGATGAAGGTTTGGATGTTGTGAGGTTCACAAAAATAGGTTTTGGTGCTATGGAGTTTACA